CCACCAGTATGCCGCATGCAGGCTCCTCTCTGGCAAACCTGATTTCTTCCTCATTCCCCTTCAAAACAAATTTATAACCCTTCCTATAAGCCCTGCTAATTCATGTCCCAGATGTCTTCTCTGCCTTCTGAGTCATCTCACCCTCTGCCTCCAGTACCTCGTACTTGTGCAAAGGCAACTGGGAAAGTGAGGGGGGGCTGGGAGGAGTTTCCAATGCCTCTCCTAACAGGGACCTGTATCCATTCCCCCACCTCCCCAGTTCCTTGGGTCACCACCCTCCACTTGGGGGATCTGCAGAGCCTGTTCCCACAAGTCCAATTCTTTCACATTCTCTTCTCATCCTTAATCTTAACACCTCTTCCTTCAGTTCAGCCACCATATTAAGCAGATCACTGACCTGCTCACAACTTATACACGTTTTCTCCTCAACACTCTGTTTCACATCCCAGGTTCCAGCACTCCCTGCAGCCAGTTGCCTGGACGGCTGCATGCTTGTGTGCAGCTTCTGTCTGGGTGCCCACAGTTTTCCTGACAGTCTCTGCCTGCGTTGCAGCCCTGGCGGGGTGTTTTTGGCAGGATATTTTTGAGGAACTGACCAGATGACTTTTTTTTTTTTCCGGATTCTCCCACACCCTGCTCTCAGGTCCCTGGTCTATGAGCTGCAAACAGTTGCAGCACCCCCGGTGCTCACACAGTCAAGACTCCCGGAGGCGACTTACCACCCGATAAGCACTGGGTGAGGCTGGTTACGCCCTTGATTGCCGGGGGAGGAGCTCGAGCACCCCGAGTGACCGCTGGCGTGTTCCCGCCTCGTTCAGATCGGGGCCGGGACTCCTGGCTCCGCCCTCCGCCCACGCCTCCTCGGCAACCCGCCCGACAGCTGCCAGCCCCCGAGAGCTGGCTAGCCGCCTTCTGGGCTTCAGAAAGCCCCCAAAAGGAGCTCCTTGCCGGTCCCTTTTGCCGCGACTTCCCTCCCCAGTGTGGGCTTACCTGCACTGGAGCTGGTCTCCTCGGCGAGTCATATAGGCATAGTCATATGTTCATATAGAACATAACCACCCCCAGCCTCCAGATGTCACTGCAACTACAGGAAATCCTTACACCAGGTCAGCTAAGCTTCACCCCCAAGTCTCATCCCTTGTGGGGCTAAAAGTTTTCAAAACAAACTATCCCTACAATACCAAAGGCAGAACCTAAGTTGTAAAAGCGTCACCGAATTCAAAGAGACCTCTTTAGTTCCAATATTCTTTCAAAAGTTAACTTTATTACAAAAGATATAGAAAATTAGAGTTCAGCTTGTTTCTTACACAGTATTAATCAAAGCAGTTGCCAAAAAAAACCCAAGGTAAACATGTTTAAGAGCATATGTATACCATATAAGTGTTTGCTACTTGTCACCAAATACAGCAAAGACACGCTTGCTATCAGTGCGGGAAGGGCGGTCAGCAACCATCAGTCTGCCAGAGGCCAGCAAAAGAGCTCCTCCTCTAACCCTGTGGGCTGCACAACAGCACAGTGAAGCAAGGCCCAAACTGCAGCATTTCATCCTTGCTCTGCTGTTTGAGGCAGACGTTCTAGCTCCAAGCAACCATCTGATGTTTAGAGAGGCAAATCCCATGAGCTCAGTCACCTCAGATACTATGTCATTAAGCTTTCACTCTGTAATGAAAAAGGGCCAGTAAGTAGAGCCATTTTAAATGCATCAATTCCTTTCCGTTGCCAGCGTGTTCTACCTTTCAACTGAATTCCAAGATAAAGTTCTTCTGCTAGTTTCCTTACAAAGAGATGTTTCTTACATACTCACTACCAAGAATTTAAGGTGGTGACTGAGAAGTTCTTATCACTGGGATTTTCACTCATGATGGTTCCAGCTGGGTAGCACAACAGACAGGAAGGACTATGCACCTTGCTGCTCACACTAAAGGTAAAAAACCAGTGAGAATAGTAAGGACGAGCCACCATAACCTGCACTGAGATACAGAACACATCACTTAATGCATTTAATGCACAGATCACCACATAAACACTGAAGGCAAAAACCAGGTTTGGGCATGGTGGGCAAGAGCAGGTAAAACCAAGGACAGGCTCCAGACTGCCTGTGCACCTGTGGGAGCCAAACCCACAATGCTTCAGAAAAAAAGCTGTTTGTTTTGTTTAAGGAAGTGAATAAAGCCACCACATGAGATCACAGTCCTCCACTGAACACAAGAGTGGTCCCTCATCTGGTTTTATACTACATTCTGCTTTGGGCAGATGCAATCCAAACTGGTAAGGAACACATCCAGTCAGCAAGGATCCTGGTCAATATTTTGTTAGCTGGATGCCGTTTTCACCCCTTAAAGGCAAAACTGAAAGATACAATGATTAAAAATAAAATTAGTGTTTCAACCAATTCCAGGAAAAAACCTGCTATTGGCTACAAAGAACTTATTTACTTCTTTTCTGACAGCACCACCAAAAAAAGAGATTATACTAGCAACAGAAACAAGACACTGGCTGTTCAGAAAGCAAACAAGGGGGCAAGGCTCTTGCGTTCTCTCAGCAGTTACCTCTGCACAGGGTTCAGATGACTAGCTTGCTAGAGAACCATCCAAAACCAAGGGAGAAAGACACCTTGTCTCAGATCAAGTCCACCTCCTGAGCCCCAGTGTGCACACTTACAACAGTTCATTCAGTGCAGTTTAATTTCAAGTCACTTAAGCTTAGCTTGCAAGGTTCAGTAATACTTCTTGGAAACAATTGTCTGCAGCCACATATTTTGTACCTGTATTAGAAGGTGATACTTCAGTTCCTGCTAGAACTCTGTGTATGGTTCTTATCTCATCCCTTGCAATTTGACAGACTGCTCACCCTCAGAAGCAAGTCAGGCAATATTTCAGCAGTGGTTTCCACACTGCAAGGTAAGAACCAACACTGTACAGATTGTTTTCTAAGGGCTTCACATACCCAAACATCATGCTAGATGACCACAAGACAAATACCTGTACTTTACCATTAATACAAGACTCAGCAGCTAGACACATTACAGCAGGCTGACCATGACATTGAGGAAAGAGTCACAGAACAGCATGTAGTGTAGCAGACAACTTTTCTTCCAGGTTGGGAAAATACAGTCCTCTTTCGTAAGCAGTACAAACTGGCAGTGGTAAATCCTGCACCACTGTCTGGTTTGCTGGTGATCACTCATCTCATCATTCCTAGTTTCTTCCTTCCTCTGTTCTGACCAGTTATTTGGTAGGTTAAAAAAGCAACGGAGTTCTCTCCTCAGCTGGCTGCTCTTTCTGAAATAACTCTTTGATATGCAGTAGCTTGTTATGGATCCTTTCTCTTAGGGGAGGGATATGATGGCTAGGGTCTAAGACATTAGTGCTTCTGCGCTCCCTTTCCTGCTTCCAGGTGAGATAGGGCTGCAGTGGGAAGGGCACCTCGCTTCTCTCCCGGCGAAGCTGCACAGTTACTCCACTGAGTGACAGCATTGTCCACACTGACAGGATAATGAAGTCTGAAAAAGAAAAGAGATTCCTGTATCAAAGTAGAACATTCCTTCCTTTCCCAAGCATAAACACTGAATAACTTTAGTGACAGAAAGGAATGAAGTACTGTCCCTGCACCCTCTCATGCTTTGAGTAATTTCACACAGAAGTGAAAACACACATGGAGTGTGTTCAGTCACCATCCCAGGCCTTTTCTGACTGCCCACTCCACAGACTCCTCAAAGGAGCAGTCCAAGCCCAAGCACCACCTTTCACAGGGGCTTTTCTCACAGAACAGCTTTCGAAAGTTTGGTACCTTCAAGTATGCTCAGTATTTCTTTTGGAGGTCTAGATTTTATCATCTGGGTGTTAAATCTCACACCATACTTACTGTGTTCTCCCTTCTTCCCTTCCTACTCTCAACACTCACAGTTTACAATGAAACCAAAGAGGCAGTGAAGTTCTCCAATAAGCATTTCACACTAATTATTAAAAAAGTCTTAGAGCAGTACTCACCATTTGTTTGAAAAGGCACATTGGTGTAAGCTCTGCTGAAGTAATTATTGAGGATCCTTCTGAGTAGGTCTAAGGTGATGTAAGCAAGACTTGTGTAGACATAACAAGCAATAGCTAGGACCACTGTGTAAGAGCCTACTACTCCAGAGGCCAGTATGTTCAGCTAGAGGGGGAGAAAAAAACCCTACAGCTTTAGAAGACTGATAAACATTCTTTATTCCCCACCTCTTTAAGACAGTATTTTGTATCAATTCTACAAGAAGTTGGCTGCACATGCCTGTTATCTACACAGCCTGTTAAGACATCAGAAGTCAACTAAATCCAAGTGTTAGTGGATGCCCCATGCAACACTGCAAAAAGTCATTCCTTTGATGGATCATTTAGCACAAGTAGGGCTGAACATGAACACCCCAGAGCCAGTCCTGTGCTGGGCTTCATGAAGCTGTGTTAAGTCTTCTACACATATCACACAGGACTATAATTTGTATTAAGTAGTCTGACACTTCTCTCTCCTTCTGAAATGACAGTGTAGCTTACTTACAATTCTTGGGCAGCCAACAAAAAGCACTGGAACCAGCAAGGCTACAGAAGAAAAGGTCACCCAGAACACCACATCATCACGGAAGACTCTGTAGTCTCCTGCAAAGACACCATACTCCATATGTAATTTACTACTTAGAAAAACATTTATCTTTGTAAGTGGCTGGGGGCAAGCTTCCCTCCCCAAGATTCTGTACATTCAGCAATCTAGAGTACAGTATGCAAAAGCTTAGCTTTCAAGCTCAAATGCTGATTAAGATGTATTTTAATAGTTACTCAGAAAAAGTTTTTCCCAGTTGAGTATAGGTCCTGTACTCTATAGGTCCATGAAATAAAGATTTCATGAGGTATGTTACTCCTCTGGTAAGAATGAAAAGTACCAGCGTACTTCTCTGGTAATAAGAAGCCATTTTGACACCTATATAGGTTTATAAATCTATAGAAGTTCATCTCTACGTTTGGCTCCAAAGCATGCTGCAAGTGCAGCCAGCACACCACAAGGGAACAAACTCCTCTGGCTTTAGTAAGAGTAATTAAGTCACTCAAACACTACTTTGCTCCTCCTGCTTTCTAAGGCTTGTCAAGTAAACAGAGCTGACCCCCAGCTGAGTCACTGTTTTGCTTCAAGGCAGAGCAACCAGGGACTGCATGGATTGTCACATAATTGTGGCTTGAGTCAAACAGATGATTGGAGAATGAAAAACTATCCTATCAAAGGATCTTCAGTAGAAGAATTTTGAGGTTTTCAATTACAATAAAGAAAGCAGTGTAGCTGGTGCTGATGACCCAGAGGAATTCCAGCCTAGCAACCCTGCTTGCTTTTAAGTGATGTGTCTATTGCTTCTCAGTCATTCTAAAACCCCTGAAGATGTCATCTAACTGCCAATACAAGTTTGGCTCTTATAGGGCAGTGCTCCCAGAGCTTTGCACTGTAGTATAGTGAAAGGTACCAGCAAGAGTTCCTCTCAATCCATAATGCCTTTATGCCTGAAGCCTCCAAGTTAGAATACAGATTTCCTACTGTGACTTGTTCTGGATAGAAAATGAGACAAAAAGCAACTGCATGCCTGGAGCAGAGCTGGTATCACAGACTGCTGAGATAGCACACAGCTTAGATAGGAAGAGCCTCGGCAAGTTCTGTGTGGAATAACCAGTTTCCTTTTCCCCACCAGTGCCAATCCCCTAAGCAGTTTTAATTACAGCACACCTGAAAGAAGGCTTCAGGCACATTTCTATTCCTCCCAAAACTGGAAAGGGAAAGTTAAACAACACACTAAGATAAACCAGATAGTGGCATTCATCTTAAAGCCTCACAG